TCCCCGCTTTTTTATCTCTTCAAATATATCTATATCTATCCTTCTCTCTCTCTCTCTCTCTCTCTCTCTCTCTCTCTCTCTCTCTCTCTCTCTCTCTCTCTCTCTCTCTCTCTCTCTCTCTTCTCTCTCTTTCTTTCTCTCTTTCTTTCTCTTTTTCTCTCTCTCTCATTCTCTCTTTCACTCTCTCTCTCATCCTCTCTCTCTCTCTCTCTCTCTCTCTCTCTCTCTCTCTCTCTCTCTCTCTCTCTCTCTCTCTCTCTCTCTCTCTCTCTCTCTCTCTCTCTCTCTCTCATTTTCTCTCTCTTTTTTTCTCTCTCTCCTTCCCTCTCTCCCGCTGACTATCACCCTCTTCCACTTCGTCAGGCAGTGCCATCTGTCACGTTGTCACTGCCGCATCTTCGTCACAGAGTCGCTCAATGTCATCCTTCCATCCTGAGAATCAAAAGCATCCTTGTAACACTTGACAGGCGTACAAGCACAACCTTCAAGGGCGAGTGCGTAGTAAGGCTGCACAGCGAGAGGACCAGCCGGGCAGTTCACCGGCTGGCGCTGAAGGATGTCGGGGGGGGGGGGGGGGGGGGGGGGGGGGGGGGATGTATGAATGACGTAAGAAGTGGAGATTGGGGAAGGAAGATGGTGTTAATGGACTGTAGAAAGATTTGTCTGAGAAATGGGATATGAGGATTTTAAAAAATATATATGTATATGTTGTCCTTTGTAGAGAGAAGAATGATGGGGTTGTTCAATGGGAATCTGCGGTGTCAGGTGGCATTCAATATGCACTATGACTGCAATACTAAAGACTGGCAATAGGCAAGTGCAATTAACGATAAACGGGGGCGATTTTTTTCCTTGATTCTTATCAGTTTAATGTGGTGATGTTTCGCCTGTTTAAATAACCTTGAAGTCGCCTTTTGTGTTTGAAATTGATGTGCATAATTGTTTCATCTAGGTTGTATGTTGATATGTTAATCTTATGTGTTAAAATACCACTCATATGTACACACATATATGAATATGTATGTACCTATATGCATACATATATGTATATACATGTGTGTGTATATATATATATATATATATATATATATATATATATATATATATATATATATATATATATATATATGTATGTATACATACATATATATACATATATATGTATATGTATATATATGTATGTATACATGTATCTATATATACATATATATATGTATATGTATATATAGACATGTACACCATGCGTGTATATCGTAAATGTATGTGTATGCATATATATTGCATTAAACCAAGTGCTCATTTGATAATTATTACTATATTGTTAAAAAATGTTTTAAGAACAGATGACCATTCTAAGATTTGTATAAAGCATATATTAATGTGACTGTGACCGAAAAAACTAATAATATTTTTGCATTTATTTTTATGTGATTGGCATCTAGTTGATAATGTTACCGCTAAAAAGCAATAGGAAATTACCGTAAGAGAGTTACCTTTCCGAGGCTTCCAGGGACGCGCGGGCTCGCCTGCCGCCACCACAAACCACGCACAAACTCCTTCGTCATTGTCGTCTCACCTCTGGCGTCGCCGCCGCTCGCCGCGCGGGATCGCCTCGCGGGACTCCGCCGCCGCCTCGCGCCCTCTCCCCGCCCGGCTTCGGGACCCGTCGAGACCCCTCTTATCAGTGATAGGTCGTTAAGAGATAAGAGAAGGCGTGCGACTGAAGACGCCGCGGAAAAGCTTGGGTCGAGGGCGAGAGCGAGGCGTGCCAGCGGGCGGCCCTCGAGAGACCTTCCTCGAGAGTGGGCGGAAGAGCCGCCATGATCCCGTGACAGTCCTCTGCGGATTATGGGAACGTCCGATGTGGTGACCTTGGCCGGCCTACGTCTGTATACTGATGAATCATATTACAATATCCCATTTGTTGGTTTGTTTGTCTGTCTTTGTGAACGACCTGGAGTTCGGCTTGACCTCTGAACTGCTGCATTTTCTTCAAGAATTCTCCATCGAATCCGATCTTTTCTTCGGTCACGTCTCTGTTCTTTTGGCTGGGATGGGCTCGTCCGCCGCTCCTCGGGCTCCGGGGATTGCCACCGGCCTCTGAGGCTCCTGCAAGTCAAGCGGCCGCTGGGCTGGGTTCCTGCAACCTCATGGGTTCACAAACTTAAGTCCTTCCTCACGTTGAGTTCAGTCTTCAGTAACACGGGTGACTACTCATAATTATACATACATATATATATATATATATATATATATATATATATATATATATATATATATATATATATATATATATATATATATAATTACATGTATACGTAAATATCATGACAAGCCCCCGACAATCCTCCGTTGCAGTTCGCGCTGCGACCGGAGGCCCTGCGAGCGACCGGACGCCCCAGACTCGCCCCAGCGGCTTTCTGGTCAGCCCCCCATCTTCCCAAACTAAGAATCATCCGCTTACTTCTACCATCTTTCTCCGGCGAGGAGTAAAAGGACCTTCCCTGATCTAAATATCGCTCTCCGTTTTCTGTGAACTCTCCGGCCGTGTGAAAAAAGAGAGAGGAAAAAAAACACTGTCGCGTCTGACTTCCCCTTATTCGCCCCACTCCATTCCTTTCCCTTATTCGCCCCACTCCATTCCTTTCCCTTATTCGCCCCACTCCAGCCCTTTCCCTTATTCGCCCCACCCAGACCCATCCGCTATTCGCCCCACTCCAGTCCCTTCCCTTCATCCGACACTCATTTGATTCGATGTTTCATATAGGTATTGGGTAGCTGTATGCGATCTCTGTTGCTTTATTCATTGAAATGTTAGTTTATGTGTTGTTTCCCAGACGGTAATGAGCTACTGTAGCTACGATATATGAGCTTCTTCGGATAAAAAATAATAAACTTGCTATGCAGTTGTGCGCAGAGAATATTTTGCTAGATGTACATTCCATAGTATCTATAGATGAGAAGATATCTCTGGACTTGTCGAGTTTTGTAATGGACAGAGGATTTAATATATTCGTGATTTATTGCAAATCGAGATAAGGCAATGGCGTTCGGATCAGAAATTGCGCTCTCTGTCGGGTTTGTGGTTAATCATCCCTTTACAGAGTGACTTGTTTTGCATTCCTCTTGCGAGAACGGCCGTACTGTCTCGATTTTGCAGAATTTGTCTAGTCATGGACGTTGCTGATTATTTATATTCATAAGCTAATGACGGTAAATCGCTAAGTTGTGTTAATGTTTTAGAGATTATTATTCTAGTGAGGGAAATTTATCAAAAAAACGATAGAGAAGCCTTTATTTTATGCATAACTAGGTAAGTTTGTTCTGCCTGGTGCAGAGATGTCGAAAACCCCGGATGTCTGAAGTTGCAGCGCTCCCGAGGTCCGCCACGAACCGGATCCTCGACCGGTTCCGCCTCTGGTTCTGACGAGGGCGCGTCCAGCCGCGTCTCGGCCGCCGGAGGGGCTTCCTCCCCGGGGGCCCGAGGCGCGGGGACTGGCGGCACGACCAGAATCCGAGTACGGGTCTCGGGTCCTTGAAGAGACGCCGGAAGGATGCTGGACGGTTTGGGCCAAAGACGTGTGTTGTCAGTGAAAACGAGCTCCTTTATATACCTTTAGATATTTACATACGTGTATACAACCAGTAAAGCTTGGTCGTAAGAATCTACAGTTAGGGAACTTCGAAGGTAATATTACTCACTAGTCTGTGTATTAGACTACAGAAGACCCCGTTTTCCCTAAGGTATATCAAGCAGTAGCGTGACATACTGTGCGTCCCAGTGCTACTAGCGTGCACTGGTGGACGAAAAAGAAAAGACTTACTAGCAAAGGAAGTGTGAGCTCACATACATAGAATTCTCTTGAGGTGACAAAGAAAATGTCGATTTTTGAGCCTTCTAAATATGAAGTGACGGTGTCCCAGTGCAATAAAGGATTTATATATACAGTACACACACACACACACACACACACACACACACACACACACACACACACACACACACACACACACACACACACACACACACACACACACACACACACACACACACACACACACACACACACACACACACACACACACACACACACACACACACACATATACATGCATATACGTATGTATACGTATATGTAACATCCTTACAACCTGAAAATAAAAATGTCACAGAAGAGCAAAAGATTTCTTGAGTACAAATTAAAGCACATAATAGATTGGATTATTTAATTCACCGTATCTTAAGGTTTGTATCAATCCTAAAGTCAGTTTCATTAATAATTCTAATAAGCCTGTTCTATATTTTATTTCAAAATGACGCAACCTCAGCCACGGCCAGGAGTGTATGTGCGCAGCGAGAGTATGTATATATGTAGGTATGTGTGTATGTGTATATGTGTATATATGTGTATATATATGTGTGTGTGTGTATAAGCATTATAAATATGTTTGTGTGTGTAGATATATGTATATGTATATGTATAATTATGTATATATATATATATATATATATATATATATATATATATATATATATATATATAGTGTGTGTGTGTGTGTGTGTTTGTATGCGTGTGCGTGTGTGTGCATGTGTGTGTGTGTGTGTGTGTGTGTGTGTGTGTGTGTGTGTGTGTGTGTGTGTGTGTGTGTGTGTGTGTGTGTGTGTGTGTGTGTGTGTGTGTGTGTGTGTGCGTCTGTGTGTGTGTGTGTGTGTGTGTGTAAAAGATGTATGAAATTCAAAACCTATGTTATTTCTACGTTTTAGTTTTCTCACATTTCTACTTCTATAATTTGGACAATATATATTTACATGGTAAGTTACGATACAGTACATAAACAAGAACAAATAGATAGATAAGCGAATATCAATCAGTTATTTATTCTACCTTCCAAAACTGAAGGCCACTTAAACAAGCCTAAAATTACGTAACACCTATGAACAATCCTTCAGAAACTGTGATTAAGATTGATTAAAACAGTCCACCCTTCAAACTTCAATG